GGATATATTGTTAATAGTTGTTACTTGTTAATTAGTTACCGATAAAATTAATAACCAAAACTGATTTGTTTAACTCCAAATACCAAAGAATACAAACTGAAATTTTAGGGCTAAAAATAATTATTGTGGTCTGGTTTGGGTTTTAGACCAAATACAAACCAAAGTGATTCATGAGCACTTTACTTTAAAAATAGGTTGATTAAAGCTATATTTAGGAAGAATAAAAATATGGATTTTTCGTTTGTATAGATTGGTTTGATCTGATCCAATTAATTGAATCCAAAATGATTACGATTTTTAAAATATAGATATTGATAGTCCAAACTAAATTCAAATATAATCTGATCCAACCAAATTACAATTCGCTTGGATCGATTTTTATAATTCGGTTTTTAAAAATCAGAACATTTAAAACCACTTATAATTAGAATATTAGAAAACAATATAGAAGAAACTAAAAAAAAATTATTTAGTTATTGTTTAAAATTTATAAACAACTATTAAAAAGTATATTATAGTTTAATATTTCATAGATAATTTTTTTGGGAAAAAAAAATGCATAATTAGGTTTTTATTAGGTGGACCTTTTTTACTCTAACTGAAAAAATAAATTACGAAACTAATAAACAATTATAAAAATATATTAAAAATAAATAAATAGCAAGTTGTTATTCATTTTTTTTTATTATTCGGTTCTTATTTTATAAACCAAAATCAATTTAAAATCCAAAATAATAAATATACTGTCAGGTATATATGGGTGCCCGACCTACCCCTTCGATATCTTTCAACCGGTAACCAGGAGCTAACCTCCCTTTTGGTATCTTTCAACCGGTAATCGGAGACTATTTCACCCCTACCACTACCACATAACAACATAACATAACGTACTGCTAGGCATGCATGGGTTCTAACGACCCCTTCGATATATTTCAATCGGTATCCGATGACTATTTCACCCCTACTACTACTAACACATATAACAAAGCATCCTAACACATAGAGCATATTAGATTGTTGCAAACCAGACAATTATCACAAAGACAATCATCTCACACATAATCACCTACTAGTGGGCTGACATTGGTGCCTTAGACCTACCTCTACTGGAAGGTAACTCACATCACACTGCTGAAGTCCCGCAGACACAAGCTCAGCTGCTGGATGACAGGTTTCCGAACTGTCAACATCAAAATAACACCCAATTAATAATTGGGTTCCAATACATAACCATAAGTCCCTGCTTGGGGTAGAAGATTGCTTTACCCCAATCTTAGTTTGATCCAAGCCCAAGGCCTAACGGTCAACTATGAGTCAAAGCCCAACATATGACCCAATTTTCCAAATTGGGCCCAAACCTTTACATGATCTTATTCAAAGGCCCTACCATTCATTCCGGTCCAACATTTGACATACTAATGGCCCAATATCATATAATCATTAAGGCCCAAACTATGGCCCAATTTTCCAAATTGGGCCCAAACCTTCATATGGGTCTTACCCTAAAGCCCAACAACATATTCTAGTCCATATGATTATTCTTGGATGACCCATTAATAATCCAATTACCAAAGCCCACTAGAAAGGCCTAACATAAAGACCAAGTGAAATTAGAGTTTTCACATAAAATGACAATTAGGGTTAAGTGTTTCTCACTTAACCCATTAAGGACTTACTCCATTAAGTCCATCACTCTACTAGATAAGTCATATGGTGATTGGGTGTAATTCACAATTCCATTCCAATGGCCCAAATGTGGGTCTCGATAAGTCCAAGACCCATATATCCGAAAATTAGGGTTTTCTAAACCCTAATTAGGGTTTCCAATCCCAATCATAGCCCAATAGGCCAAATAGATAGATCTTTTAATCAATTTGGGTTCATTAGGCCCGTTAGGGTTTCACTAGTCGGGCACCACCCACTACCACCTCGGGTAGTGGTGGTGGTTAGGTTTCTAGTCCATTTTGTCTTGTCCATGGATCCAAAAATCAATTATATGCAAGCAAAAGCACACTGCCACCCAACACGGCGGTTGGTGGCGGCAGCCACCACCCTACGGTGGTGGTTTTGAGTTTTCTTTTCATTATTCTAGCCACTATTACAATTTTACAATGAAATAATCCCAAAATACACACACACACTCAAAATAATCACACACACAACCACCCATGTGGTGGCCGGTGGTGTCAGCCACCATGGCTGGCGGCCATGGTAGGTATCTTTTCTGTTTTCCGGCCATCAACACCATCTATAATTACACCTACACAATTTTGATTGCACAAAGGGTCCAGCCACCCACCTGGTGGCTCACGGAGGTGGTAGATTCACGATGGCAGCGGCGGCAGGTCGTAGCTGACGATGGGGCCGAGGAAGAGACAAAGAGGGTGGCAACGGACGCACACCCTGACGAATAAACTAGTAGTGAGGCGGAGATAGACACAGGGAGGCGGGCAGCAGTCCTAGCGACCACGACGGTACTTCCCGCCGGAGAAGGCAACAACGACAGAAGTAGGTAGTGGTTGCTCAACTTTACTGCAACAGGCCACCACGATGTTGATGGTGGTGCGACGACCGAACGCCCCACACTCTCTCCGACTGCCTAGCTCTTTCTAACGTAGAGGGAAAAGGACACCATCGATCAACCAAGATGGTGGCGGTTGAATTCAACGGTGACAGTGGCGAAACTAACCGGCGGCTAGAGGGTAACATAAGGAGAAGAAGAAGTCACAGAGGGACGGTGGCAGTGCTGAGGTCGCTGGCGGCCATGGGTGGTCGGAAAGTGAGCGAAACCGATGGTGGCGGCTGGAGGATCATACCCGACGGCTGTTGCATCCCTTAATTAGGGTTAGGGTTTGGATAGCATGTATACCCGATGCCTTACAATCTTATAGCCATAATGGCAGAAATGGTCCTGCCCTAGAAATATCCTTTCATATCAAGTCTATACTTTACCCTTTTAACCCCTGATCTTATAATTCTTTTCATAATTAATCCAACAGTTACTAAACAACCATTCCTCTACAATTTATTTTTCAAATGAGGTCCATATGTTACCAGTCAGCCCTTATCTTCCAAAATCTCTTCAAATGAAGTCCCTATAATTTACCAAGCAGTTCTTGCCTTCACAAATATTTACAAAATCAATCTGAAACTTACATTTTTAACCCACAACTTTTAAATTATGACAATCAGCTCCTCGTGACGAATACTCTGCTACATAATTATTGATTTTAGGGTTACTATACATTAATTAATTAATTTATTTATTTATTAAATAAACGGGGTGTTAGAAGAATATATTTAAATCAAATTATTTCCTAAATATATCGACTAAAAGAATTAAATAATACAAAATAAAACTGATGGGCAAAACCCGTAAGACTTGTTAACAATTCAAATTCAAAGGAAGCACATATTTGCTGTTAAAAAATTTAACTTTTACCCATTTAAATCTATATTTTAAGGGGATAACATGGCACAATAGAATCCTTGACACTGTTAAGTAACGTGTCACAATCGTTGAAAGGATATGGTGGCGGACATGTCATCGATGTGTGGGGCCATGTGGACCGTCCACCTCACATAAGGGGCGGTGAATAAAGACAATTCAACTTTAGGCTATAGCATGTCTACGTATGCAACCATGTGTTGCTATGCCTTACATTATTGAGTCTTATGATCTCATTATTCTCACTTCGATCAAAACTGCAAGTGGCCATTGTCACTTTCTTTTCCATTTCAAAAATTCACTCATCTAAAACATTTGCAGATGATACCAATTTGGCTTAAAATATTTTATAAACATAACGGGTTTTATCATTTATGTGAATTATTCGTCCTCTTTCAAGAGAATAATTTTGGGATTTTCTAGTTCATACCTTGAAATTCTATGTAGATTTTTATGTAAGCCTTATGAGGATTTAACTGAATCCAGTTTTGGGATAAAATAAAAAAAAACATTATTATAACTTGTCTTTTTGTTATGGTAAATCGATAATACTAGGTATGAAAAAACTTAAAAATCAACCACAATGACGTTTTTACTTTCATCTACATGATTTTTAACAGGATTTTGAAGATAAAAATGCGCACGTAAGAAGGGAAAGAATAAAATATTAATTGATATTTAACGGTTTTTATTAAATTAAAATAAATTGTTGTACTTTTGTGTTAAAAAATTATTAAAAGCGAATTAATTTTCCAATTCACTTCTCAATTTCGTGACTCAGAAAAAGCATCTGCCACATCTGATAATGAATATCAAATGCCAATCAATTACCTACCACCTGTGTATTCTTCAAATTCATGATACCACATACCAACATAAAAATGAAAAAAAAAATAATAATAATAAAGCATGAAAATGGACTTTTTTTTTAAAGGCCATTACCACACTTAATCATGTCTATCATAATCATCATCACCCTACTGCTTTTCTTAAGTTTTTTCACAGCGGTAGAAAAATATAATGTAATGACTGTTTTTGTTGATAATAAAGTCCTGAATATTCTAATCAATCAAAATATATAAGTTGTATTGGTGTTAATAATAATAAAGTCCTAAATATTATCGTAAATGTTGTTTTGACCAATGAGAAAGCCGATCAATACCAATTCCACCCGCAATAATTCTATGAATATTCTTTCTAGCCGATAAGATAGCAACCATGGACCACTAAAGCGCTCTATTTCTACGTCTATGTTTCATTAACTTGTATCGAGTAGATTGACAAAAATACCCTTGTACTACTAGTGATTGTTTACAAGAAGCATATAACAGCTTGGATTAAAATCTGTGTATTAGGCTGGATGAGCATGTGAGTATATATATATATATATATATATATATATATATATATATATATATATATATATATATATATATATATATATATATATATATATATATATATATATATATAGTACTAAAAGCAATGTCCAAGTGGCATTTTTGTCATTTACTACCCACTTTCTCAAGAGGTTTAATCAAGGGACCATATGGTTTAGATATATATAACATGAAGTTTTGAAAGCTGTAGGCATATCTCAAAATAAAAACATACCAAAACATTTCAGTCATTATCTCACAGAATTAAACTGTGAGATTTTGCTTTGACTGTATATGATCAATGGCAGCACCCGAAATTGATATTCCAGATTTTTCATCCTCAAAGGTTAGTGATCATAACTTTATATCTTATTTCTTTTTGCTTTATATGATGTGTGAATCACTAGTAAAATTTGTGATTTAGTTTTAGTATTATGAGGCATAATTTGTGGATTTGATTTATCTGATGCTGTTGGAGTCTGATCATAGTTGAAAAGTCTGCATGAGTATGAATCAATTGCATAGAAAGATCAGAGATTTGTGTAGTAATAAACTTTAAAGTTTTAATTATTTTTGGCATCATAAGACTGATACCAAAGTACATAAGTGTTGATTGCTTCAATAGTAAGATCGCCATGTATCAATTTCATAAAGCAATCCAGTAAAAAAAAAACTGAAAAGTTGGATTAACAAATTAGAACTAAGTTTTCGAAAACAACAATATTTTCCGAGAATGTTTTTTTTGGAAGGAATGGAATCAGTGAAAGGAATAGGAATCTGAAGGAATCATAATCAATCACATTTTTAGTTGGCACTTGGCAGAAAATGAAATGTAATTCGATCATAAAAATTAAGTAATTTTAAATCTTTTTTAGTTATTGTAAAACTATATAATTGGATTTCTTACTCTTAGTTATTAGTTATTACAACATATTAATATTATACAAGGGTATTTTGGTCTTTTATTATAAAAAAGAAAAACGAAATTGAATTCTTTCCACCCTCCTCTAAAAGACGGTAAAAATCCGTCAAACATGAAACTTGAAGGAATGATGGAACTGAATTCAGTCCAACATGCCATGGAATGGAATCTAGAATTCCAATTCCATCGGATTCAGTCCATTAGGCACACACCTCTGTATTTAACGATTGATTTTCCTGCAGAAAGACGAAAGGGAAGATTACGGTTTGTCAAGTGAAATTTTGGGAGAAAAAATTGCAGAATTTTCTGGTAACAAAGCGAAGCAACTTGAAGTGGCAGAAACTGTAAATACAGAAGAAGTTGAAACTGAGAGTGAAACTTTTTTCCAAGCACTCTCAGTACCCATTGTCAGTGCTGATGAAGACACAACAGAAAGTTGCAAGGCTGCCACTACAGAAGATCAGGAAGAAAGAAAGTCTACAAAGATTGAAGAAGCCAAACCATTTCATGATCAAAGTGTCCAGATTGTTACTTCCAAAGAAGAAACAGAGGACAAATCTATTAATTCTCAAGAGGTTAGTGATTGATGTTCTACTTCTACCTAAGTAAATTTCTAACTAGGGTTAATTGTGCATATATGCAACAAAATGGTTTCAAACCATGTTTCATTCCATAAATCCTTATTATTATGCAACAATTTCCCAACTTATGCAAACATTGTGTAAGCCTATTCATATAACTTTATCATTTCTTTTCTTTCATTCTTCCCGTATACTGAAAACGTTTCTCTTGAATAGGACCAAAGAGACCAAAAAACTGAGGGAAGTTTCGAGTCTTGTTCAGAAATTAAGCAAGAGGAAGATACTGATGAAATCAAACCAAATGTTGAACCAGATGAGAAAAAGGATAGCATCGCAGTGAAAACAGAACCTCGGATAGAAAGTGATGATGGTATAAAGGACACAACATTTGAAGGAGGCTTACAAGAAAAAACCTACCATGGTGAAGGTAATGAAGCTGAAGCTGTTAAAACTAAAGAACATATAGAAGATGATGTTGAAGAAACGACCTTTCAACATGCTACCACAGTGGCTTATGTCGAAGAGGGGCAGACTTTGAATGCAGCACCTAAAGATATCCCCAAGGAAGAAGAAGTAGAGGACATAAGAATTAATCCTCAAGAGGTAATTCATCTCCAATCTAAGTAATCTCTAACCATTCCAAAAGGTTCTAATTGTACATCATAAAGTGTATGTGTATGAGAAATTAGTAAGTGTATAAGTTGTTGAACTCCATAATAGTTGGAAAATCTAGGTAATAAAAGCATCTACAAGAAGAGATACAACTCGATTTTTTGACATTGAACTTGTAGAGATCTACGAAGCTGTGAATTTTTACTTGTATGCTTAATCCCATAAGACCATACTATGATTCTCATATAAACATATAATCAAATACTCTTCTCCTTGAATCTAAAATGATAATCAAATACTATTCACATATGTAACCATTTCTTTTTCTTTCATCATTCCCGTATACTGAAAATAGTTTTTTCCTGAATAGGCAAGTGAGAAGTGTGAGAATGGAGCAAAGGAAGAAAGAGAACAAGAGCATGAGGAAAGTGTCGATAAATTTGTACAGTCTTCTTCAGAGATTGAGCAAAAGGAAGATACTGAAGAAATCAAACCAAGTGTTGAAACAGAGGAGAAAACAGAGCTCATACCTGATGATTGCATCACATCACAAACAGAGCCTCATGTAATAAGTACAGAACATGAAATAAAAAATGATGAAGCAATTCAGAGTGTAGAAACTGGTTTACAAAATGTTGAATATAAAGAAGAGGTAAAACATTCTGATAGTTCTTTAACACAGATCAAGTCTGAAAGCCCCATTGTAAAAGAAGCAAGTGAAGAGACTGTTTCAGAGAAGACTGGATATGAAGAAGGGTTACAGCTTTCGAACAGTTACAATATTTCCCTGAAAGAGAATGAAATGGCAAGCAAAGTTGAAGATGAAGAAAAGGAACAAGAGGACAAATCAAGTGATGCTCAAAAGGTAATTTATGTTCATTTTAAGTAATCTCTAACTATTCCAAAAGGTTTAACTTCATAAACTTGGAGCCTATTCCTATAAATCATCATTTATTTATGTATACTGAAAAAACAAAACCAACTTCCCGAATAGGCAAGCGAGGAGTGTGCGAAGGAAGAAAGAGAACAAAAGTCTGAGGAAAATGTCAACAAAATTGTAGATGAAGATACCAGTTTGGAAAAAGTTGAATATGAAGAAGAGGTCAAACATTCTGATAGTTCTAATGTAGAGATCAACGAGAAAACACTACCGATTTTAGGCAAAGATGAAGATCTAGAATGGAAACAAGAGGGCAACACATTAGAAAAAGACCAAGGTGATGATACTGTTACAACCTCAACTTATGAAGGAGACTTAAAAGAAAGAGAACACCACAGTGAAGTTAATGAACCTGAAGTTGTTAAAACTAAAGAAAGTATAGGGGAAGATACTGAAGAAATCAGAACTAGTGAAGAGACTATCTTAAAGAAGGTTGAATCTGAAGAAGGGTTACAATTTTATGACAGTTCCAATATCGCTTTGAATGAGAATGAAATAGCATATGAAGAAAAGGAACAAGTAAGTGTAAAGTCTTCTTCAGAAACAGAGCAAGGGGAAGATACTGAAGATATCAAACCAAGTGTTGAAATGGAGCAACAAGTAAGTGAAGAGTTAGAGTTCTTACTAGTTCTATGTTTAATCTTTAAAAGTATAAGACAATATTATGATTTTCATACATAGTTTTAATGTCAAATGCTTGTCTCCTCCAAAGGTTTAATTTCATTTGTTGAGAAGAGTTAGTGTTCATAAGATGATAAATGTTTAGAGAAAACCATTCTATAAAGTAGTTTATAGCAACTTTGGCTCACAATTTTTTTTTTGAAGCTGCCAGAAAGATTGTTTTAAAACTTTGACTATGCATTAGACTTATCATGATGTATTACTTTCATTCTCCACATGTACTCAAAATACTTGTGTTCATGTAGGCAAGCGAGCAGTATGAGAGTGGAGCAAACGAAAAAATAGAACAAAATCCCGAGGAAATTGTCAACAAAATTGAAGATACCGAAGAAGTCAAGCCAAGTGTGGAAATAGATGAAAAGGAGCAAGTGAAGATTACAGACTATGAAGAAGATGTGATTGCAGTATGTGCAGAAGAGAAGGGTAAATTTCAAGGGGTAGAACCTTCTGACAATGATAAAGATCAAGAAAAAGAAAAAGAACAAGAGTCTATCATTTCAGAAGAAGACCAAGTAAAAGATGATGTCAAATGCTCACAAGATGCAACCTCTATAGAGGACTTACCCGTATTTGTCAAACCTAGAGAGAATATAGAGGAAGATACTCAAGAAATCAAATCTAGTGCTGATACAAAAGATGATATAAAGATTGATGAAGAGGCATCAGTGAATGATGATGATCAAACAAAGAAGTCTGAAAGCCCCTTGGTGAAGGAAGTATGTGATGCGACAAGCTCAGAGAAGGCTGAATCTGAATTGAATGAGAACGAAATAGTGAGCAAAGAGGAAAATCAAGAAAAAGAACAAGAGATTAAAATGTCAGAAGAAGCCCAAGGTGGTGGAGATGATGTTACAAGCTCACAGAATGCATCCAGTGAGGATATAAAAGAAGCAATAATTGGTCAACAGGCTACCCCAGTGGCTAATATCGACTTCGAGGAGCAAAATCAGAGTGTGATTGATGCTCAAGAGGTAAATCGTGTAACTCCTAAACAATTCAAAAGGTTTTACTTGTACATCATTCCAACTAAAACTTGAAATGCTTTTTTTATCACTAACCAATGTAGATTCATGTTATAAAGTACAACTATCACTTACATTTATTTTATAGAATAACAATGAAAAAAACCTACCACAAAGATTGTTTTCAAAAATTTTAGCCTATTTATATAAATCATCATTTATTTTCTTTTTGTCGTATAATATACTGAATATTTCTTCTCTAATAGGACAAAAAAGAACAAAAGTATGAGGAAAGCGACAACAAAATTGTACAGTCTTGTTCAGAAATTGAGCAAGAGAAAGATACTGAAGAAACCAAACCAAGTGTTGAAACCGAGCAACAAGTATTTGAAGAGGCTAGTTCAGAGAAAATTGAATATAAAGATGAGGTAAAATACTCTGATAGTTCTAATACAGAGACCATGGTGAAGGAAGCATGTGAAGAGACTGTCTCAGAGAAGGTTGAATCTGAAGAAGGGTTAAAACTTTCTGACAGTGTTAATATCGATCTGAATGAAAACGAAATAGCAAGCAAAGTTGAAGATGAAGAAAAGGAACAAGAGGTTTATGTGTCAGGAAAAGGTTTAGGGGATGATGATACATGTTCACAAGATGCAACATTTGAGGATATAAAAGAAACAACAACTGGTGAGCATGTTACTACAGTGACCTATTTAGAGGAGGAACAGGCTCTAAACTCAACGCCTAAGGAGATCTTTAAGGAAGAAGCAGAGGACCAATCAAGTGATGCTCAAGAGGTAACTCATGTTCATTCTAAGTAAACCCTAACTATTCCTAAAAGGTTTTACAGTTTTAATTGTAGATCAATCTAATTAGAATTTGAAATGTTGCTGTCTGCTGCATAATCTCTTATCTCATGTGTAAGAGAAACTAAAAAGGACAGATTATAATAATGTATTGTTAGATGTTAAGGCTAATTCGTACTAGTTTTATGTTTAATCTATAAAAGTATAAGACAATATTATGATTTTCATATATAGTTTTAATGTCAAATGCTTGTCTCCTCCAAAGGTTTAGAGAAAACCATTCTATAAAGTAGTTTATAGCAACTTTGGCTCACAATTTTTATGAAGCTGCCACAAAGATTGTTTTACAAACTTTGACTGTGCGTTAGACTTATCATAATGTGTTACTTTCATTCTAACCATGTACTCAAAAAACTTGTGTTCATATAGGCAAGCGATCAGTATGAGAGTGGCGCAAACGAAAAAATAGAACAAAAGCCTGAGGAAAGTGTCAACAAAATTGAAAATACCGAAGAAATCAAGCCAAGTGTTGAAACAGATGAAAAGGAGCAAGTGAAGATTACAGACGATGAAGATGTGATTGAAGTATGTGAAGAAACTCACTTAGAGAAGGCTAAATTTGAAGGGGTAGAACCTTCTGACAAAGATGAAGATAAAGAAAAAGAAAAAGAACAAGAGTCCATTTCACAAGAAGACCAAGAAAAAGATGATGTCACTTTCTCACAAGATGCAACCTCTATAGAGGACTTACCAGAAACAAAATATGATGATGAAGGTAAGGAACCCGAATTTGTCAAACCTAGAGAGTATATAGAGGAAGATACTGAAGAAATCAAATCTAGTGTTGATACAAAAGATGATATAAAGATTGATGAAGAGGCGTCAGTGAATGATGATGGTCAAACAGATAAGTCTGAAAGCCCATTGGTTAAGGAAGTGTCTGAAGTAACAGGATCAGAGAAGGCTGGATCTGAATTGAATGAGAATGAAATAGTGAGCAAAGAGGAAATTCAAGAAAAGGAACAAGAGCTTAAAATGTCAGAAGAAATCCAAGGTGGTGGAGATGATGTTACAAACTCGTTGAATGCATCCAGCGAGGATATAAAAGAAACAATAATTGATGCTCATGAGGTAATTTGTGTTCATCCAATGTTAACTCTAAACAATCCAAAAGGTTTTACTTGTACATCATTGCAACTAAAACTTGCAATGTTTTATCACTAAGCAATGCAGAATCATGTTATAAAGGACAACTGTCACTCACATTTATTTTAAAAAAGAACAATGAAAAAACCTACCACAAAGATTGTTTTCAAAAGCTTTGAGCCAGTTTATATAAATCATTATTTCATTTCTTTCATTCGTACAATATACTGAATACTTTTTCTCTAATAGGACAAAACGGAACAAAAGCCTGATGAAAGCGACAGCAAAACTGTTCAATCTTGTTCAGAAATTGAGCAAGAGGAGGATACTAAAGAAATCAAACCAAGTGTTGAAACCGAGCAAAAAGAATTGTTGCATGATGATTGCATCACATCACAAACAGAATCTCAGGTAGAAAGTGAAGAACATGAAGTAAAAAGTGACGAGCCTATTCAGAGTGATGATGGTCAAAAGGAAAATGTTGACAGCTCCCCAGTCAATGAAGTATACAACGAGTCCGCTTCAGAGAGTGTTGAATATAGCAAAGAAGTAAAAGAAACAACAAATGAGAAAGAAATAGCCAGCAAAGTTGAAGATGAAGAAAAGGAACAAGAGGTTTATGTGTCAGGAAAAGGTTTAGGGGATGATGTTACAAGTTCAAAAGATTCAACATGTGAGGATATAAAAGAAACAACAGTTGGTCAACATGACACCACAATGGCCTATTTAGAGGAGGGACAGGCGATAAGTTTAATGCCTAAAGAGATCCTTATGGAAGAAACAGAGGAAAAAACAAGTGGTGCTCAAGAAGAGACCATGGAAACTGAAGAAAATAATGAAGAGTCTATTAAGGAGGTTTATGAGGAGACTACCAAGGAGGTATCCGATGAGACTAGCTCAAAAAAGGTTGAATCTGAACAAGAGGTAAAAGCTATAGAAACTTTCAAGGATGAAAAACAAGAAAAGGATCAGGTTGACATATCAACAGAAGGTCAAGGTGAGGATAATGTAATAAGCTCACAGGTTGCAGCCTTAGAAGAAGACTTGCAAGAAAAGAACTACCGAGAAGAAGGTAAAGAACCTGAATTTGTTGGAACGAGAGAAAGTGTAGAGGAAAAAACTGAAGAAATCGAATCAAGTATCGAAACAAAAGAAAATATGGAGCAACAAGGGTTGTTGCATGTCATTACTACTGATGTTTGCAGCTCAACAGAAATAGAACCTAAAGAAGAAACTATGGAAAATGAAGAAAAGATTGAGGAAGATGCTATAGTCAATGATGATGGTCAAACAGATAAGTCTGAAAGTCCATTGGTTAAAGAAGTGTGTGAAGTAACAGAATCAGAGAAGGCTGAATCTGAATTGAATGAAAATGAGATAGTGAGCAAAGAGGAAAATCAAGAAAAGGAACATGAACTCAAAATGGCAGAAGAAGTCCAAGTTGGTGGGGATGCTGTTACAAGTTCAGAAGATGCAACGTGTGAGGATATACAAGAGTCAACAATTGGTCAACATGTTACCACAGTGGTTGATTTTGAGGAGAGCAAAGATGATAGTGCATTGACCAAAGAGATCCTCAAGGAAGAAACAGAAGACAAATCAATTCATGCTCAAGAGGTAATTTATGTTCATCTTAAGTAATCTCTAATTATTCCAAAAGGTTTTACTTGTACATCATTCCAACTAAACTTGCAATGCTAAAAGTATCAAGACATTATGTTGTCTGCTACAAAATCTCTCATCTCATGTGTTTGAGAAAGTCACAAATGCATAAGTTGTTCAAATCGGTAGTTCACGTATCTCTTACAAATATACATATTAGACCATTTTAAGGGCCCTAAACAAGATAAAATACATATTTTATAGAGCATATTAAGAGTAACTTCAAATAGACAACTTGATTTATTCAATTGAACAATACAGTTGGGGAAGGGGGGGGGGGGGGGGGTATAGAAGTAGAAGAAAAGCAAGTTGTGGATATTTATGAAAAATGATAAATTCTTAGGGAAACCCGTTATATAAAGTAGTTTAGAGCAAATGATCCTAATAATTTTCTTTTGAAAAAGAGACCAATAAACTAAGCTGTCACAAAGATTGTTTTACAAACTTTGACTATACGTCAGACTTACCAAGTTCTGTTTCGTCCATTCTCCCCATGTACTCAAAATATACTCTTCATATAGGCAAGCAAGCAGTATGATGATAATGAAGCAAAAGATAAAATAGAAGAAAATCCCGAAGAAAGAGCCAACATAATTTTTGAGCAAGAGAAGTATACTGAAGAAATCAAACCAAGTGTCGAAACAGTTGAAAAGGAGCAACAGGAAGTATGTGAAGAGACTGACTTGAAGAAGACTGTATCTGAAGAAGGGATAAATTCCGATATGTATCAGAATGAGAAAGAAATAGAAATTTTAAGCAAAGATGAATATCAAGAAAAGGAACAAGATACGATTCCAGAAAAAGACCAAGTTGAGGATGAAGTTATATTCTCACAGGATACAGTTGCAGCCTCTGAGGACGTATTTTTTGAAACTAGAGAAAGCATGGAGGAAGATAATGAACTTATAAGCACAAATGTTAAAACAGAAGAAAAAGTGGAGCAAGGAGAGTTGCCACATGCGATCACAACTGATGTTTTCACATCAACACAAGTGAAATCTCAAGAAGAGAAAACAGAAACTGAAGAAAAGAACAAAGAGCCTATTGAGCATGATGATGGTCAAATGGAAACGCCTCCCATCCACTCTGTCAAAGAGGTATATGATGAGACTAGTTCGGAAAAGGTTGAATCTGAAGAAGGGATAAAAGCAATAGAAACTTTTAAAGATGAAGATCAAGAAAAGGATCAGGTCAACATGTCGGCAGAAGGTCAAGGTGAGGATAATGTAACAACCTCACAGGTTGCAGCATTAGAAGAAGACTTGCAAAAAAAGAACTACCAAGAAGAAGGTAAAGAACCCGAATTTTTTGAAACTAGAGAAAGTATAGAGGAAGACACTGAAGAAATCAAATCTAGTGTCGAAACCATAGAAAAAAAGGAGGATGTAGTCAATGATGATGGTCAAACAGAAAAGTCTCAAAGCTCCCTGGTTAAGGAAGTTCATGAAGTGACAGGATTAGAGAAGGCTGAATCTGAATTGAATGAGGATGAAACAGTGAGCAAAGAGAAAAATAAAGAAAAAGAAAAAGACCTCAAAATGTCAGAAGAAGTCCACGATGGTGAAGATGATGTTACAAGCTCACAGAATGCATCCAGTGAGGATATAAAAGAAACAACAATCAGACAACATGCTACCACAGTGGCCAATACTGAGGAAAGGCAGGAGCAGACAGAAATGACTAAAGAGATCTTCCTTGAAGATCTTGAAACTGTTTCTGAGGTACAAATCCCTGGAGTGGGGCCCGAGTCAGAAGATTCAAACATGAAAGAAGAGTGTCTTACAACAGCAACGCATGTGGATGAAGGAAAAGAAACAGAAACAAAAGAAGCTTCAAGTGCAGAGGTCAGACAGAAAAACGTCCCTACAGTTCACATCATTTTTTTCTTGCATTTCTTCTGTGCTTTATTGACATACTTTGACACTAATGGATGCAGACAACAGAAATTGGTGAAAACAAATCACTGTATGAAAAAGAGGATGTTACACAAGAAAATCAGCTTAATAGCACCGAAGACTGCAGTGAGATATCAAAAGATGTTATCTTGACTAAAGAGGTGAATACGGTAAATATATAACCACTTACTTATCTATCAAGTCATCAAAGGGGTCTGCTTACATGAATGTTATATAGATTGAACAGGTACCTTTAGAGACACAAAAGGAAAAGGGAACAGATGACCTCGAAGAACAGATTGTTGAGGAATATAGTAATTCCACAGAGCTACACGAGAAATCAACAGAAGATCAAAAGGCACCTGTGGTTAGTCTATTAAAAGAAAGATGAGAATAGTATTTTGTTCATGCTGTATGAATATGTGTTAACATGAATTTTTTTTAAGCAGATATCGTATTCAGATCCATCAGAAATCGATGAGTCACCCAAACAGGCTCTTGAATCTGTTTGTGATGTACAAACCCCTGAAGTAGTTGCTGATTCTGAAGACTCAAAAGTGAAAGAAGAGAGCATTGTCTCAGCGACAACCGAGTATACAGATGAAAACAATGGAGAGAAAGAACATGAACTTGAAGCTAATGAAACTTCAAGTACAGAGGTTAGAAAATTTTCAAGAGTTTTGATGTTAATGCATCTTGACATATAATCACTCTATCATGAACACTTATGTTGTTATATGGAAAGTAAAACTATCTGAATTCTTTTGGTTTATTTTGTGCAAAATAGAATCCAGAACTACATGGAGAACTCAAACCCACGTCTGAGATAGTGATAGAAGAATACCAGGTTAAGGAAACAAAGCCTCAACCAGAACAATCAGACATCACCCCTGAAAACATCATGGAGAATGTCATCTTGCCTGAAAAGGATTTAGCAGATGAAAAGACAACAACATCAGATGAAAAGGAATTAACCGATGAGGTCAGTGGACATGGGAAGAAGGGAACTATAACATCAAAATGTTTTCATTTGTTCATTCAAAGTTGGAAATCATCTTTTAACAGATAGAATATTCAAAAGACTTCCTTTTATAACAGATATAGCTCAACCTTCTTGGATATTCAGTTGTTTGTTATATTAAATTGTTTAAAAAAATATATTTTAAACAGGTGTCTTCAGAGCTTGGTCAACCTAAAGGACAAATTGTTGAGGAGATACAGGCAGGTCCAACTGAAACCATAAGTGAAACTACAGAAGAGGAAATCACAAAAAAGGATGAATATTTATCCCATGACAGTATAGAGAATCCAAATGACACTACAACTAAAGAAGAAAAGTGCTTTCAAGATGCAAGAACAAGGGAGATTGAACCTGTTGAGCAACAGAATGATGGTCTGGATGAAGTATCAAATGAAAAATCTACAGATTCAAATGAAACAACAGAAGTCGAACCTCAAGAAGATAGTGTACCCTCAAGTTCATTAGTAACTTCAACAGAAGAAACCCCTAAAACTTTGCCAATAGATCTTGAATCTGTCTATGATGTACAGATCCCTGAAGTGGTGCCCAAGTCAGAAGATTCAAACCTGAAAGAAGACTGTCTTACATCAGCAACAGCAACATATGTGGATGAAGAGAAACAAACTGTAACAGAAGAAACTTCAAGTGATGAGGTCAGATAGAATTACAATGTCTTTACAGTTCACACATGCTTTTATTGCATTTCTTTTTGTCTTTTCTTAACATATTTTTGACACTAATGGATGCAGAAAACAGAACAGACAACAGAAATTGGTGCAGATTATTCATTGTATGAAAAAGAAGATATGAAAGAGGATGTTACACAAGAAAATCAGCTTAATAGCATAGAAGACTGCAGTGAGATGTTAAAGAATGCTATCTTGACTGAAGAGGTGAGCAAGAAATAATACCACTAGACTTTCCTATCTATCAAGTCATCAAAGAGATCTGCTTACAGGAATGTTATATAAAATGAACAGGTGCCTTTAAATATACCAAAGGTAAAGGAAATAGATGACCTCAAGGAACAGATTGTTGAGGAAGATAGTCATTCTACAGAACTTCAGGAGAAATCATCAGAAGATCAAAAGGAAATGGCACATGTGGTGAGTCTATTAACAGAAAGATGAGATTTGTATTCTGTTCATATCTGTATGAGTATGTGTTTTAACATGACATTTTTTCACGTAGATACCATATTCAGATCTGAAACCTGTTGGGGTCTCTGAGGTTAGAACTGATGAAATTTCAAGTGAAGAGGTTAGAAGATTTTCAAGAGCTTTGAATAACACATTCTTTTTCTTGCATTTCTCTGATAATGAACTTGATATACTTTACGCTACTGAAAACAGACAACAGAAAGCAAGCAAGTTGCAGAACACCTTTCAATATCATCTCGTGATGCAGTTTTCATTAAAGAGGTTAGTGCACAAATAAAGAAATATCACCATTCCTTGTATGCTTCTGTTATCCTAAGAAGCCTTATCAATCATACTATCTAAATTTTATTTTTTCTTCTTTTGTTGCAAAATAGGATCTTGAAGTAATCAAACCCACATCTGAATCAGTGATGGAAGAAGACGAGGTTAAGGAAACAAAACCTGAACCAGAACAATCAGATATCACCTCTGAAAACATCATTAAGCATACAAGTGAAAAGGAATTAGCAGATGAGAAAAGAGATATGGAAGAGGATGTTACACTTGCACCTGAAAATCAGATTGACAACACAGAAAATCAAAATGAGATCAACAATATCATCTTGACTGATGAGGTAATTCAAAAGTAGTACTCAATTATGTCTTTCTTGTTCTTTTTTGTTCACTGTTCACCAGGTACTCCAAAACTTCTGCTTACATGATAACAACATTGTATGTATTGAGCAGGTTGCAGTGGAGACTGAAAAAGAAGAGGAAAAAAATGAAGTCAATGAACATGTTTCTGAGGAAGATATATGTCCTCCAGAACTCGATAAGACATCGACATCAAATCAAAAAGACCTAGCTGATGAGGTCAGTAAAGACAGCAAGAAGGATGCTAAAATATCAGATTGATTTCATTTATTCAGATATTAAAATGATAAATATCTTTTAACAGATAGAATATTCAAAGCCGACACCAGCTGGAAACAATGAAGTCAAAGAAGTGAAAGCAGAAATCCCAACAGAACTAGAAAATATACAGTCTGCAGAAGCCCCTGATCTTGAGTTTGAGAAGAAAGAAAAGGATGATAAACTGATATCTGAAATACAAACTCCTGAAACAACTCTCAAGATGGAGATGGAGGAAGAACATCCTGAAGTAACAAATGACACGTGTCAAACACTTGTGGATGGGTCATTAAGTGAGAAGGTAAAAAGATTAAGCCCTGATGATAAAAAAAATAACCCTAAGTTTGTCTTTTATTAATTCGATTTGAGACAAAATATTACTGTGATTATCCCATGGTTAAAGCCTCCCTATACTGATCCTATGCTAATAAGACATTGTTAACATGACCTGACTTAATGTTGTTTTATCATGGCAACATAAGCTTTCAGTTGCGTCCTTTATAAATGACATTTAGAGTATTGCATGCAAATGGAAATTTAACCTTCCCCTACTGATCATGTAGATTTTTGGTGATTGTTTTTCACGTAACAGAAACTTGTGTCCATGGTACCACCTGAAGAACTTGCATCTTCAACTGTTGAAGATCAAACAAATGAACTAGTACCGGAAACAGATAAGACAAAGGTTGAGCACAGCAGCATAAGCAACAAGGATCAGAATCTAGAATTCACAGAGGAAGAGTTTCCAAAGATTTTGGTGACAGAAGAAAAGACATTGGAAGAAGATGCAAACAAGGAGAAAGAAACACTAAGCGAATCACAAGCAGATGACCTCACGAAAACCACTTCTGATTCGATATGGAGTCCTACAGAGCAAGGTATAGAAGTTAGATCTGAGGAGAGCATCAGCAGAGGCTATGATGCTATACACAAACTTGAAGAAAAGCCAACTGAAGTTTTTGAAATTGCATCTGATGTTGCTGAAATAGTCCCTGAGGGTAGCAAAGTTTCTGAAAGTTTACCAGGAAATGTTCAGGAAGCTTCCCCCATGATGCTTCTAGAGAAAAATGACCCAGAAACTACTACTACCATTGAGAAAATTACACCTGAAGTTGCTGTAATAGATGTTCAAAAGCGTGAGAAGGACTTTGATTATACACCAGAAGCAATAACTATTGATGCCGTGCCCAATGCAGAATGCTCTGATATTCAAAGTGTGCAGAAAAAAGAAGTAGATGAAAACATAGAGAGAGAAATTCCAACTGAAAAGGTTTGATAGAATTAAAAATCTTCTCATGCACCTTATTCACTTTTGTAACCCAGTTAACCTTTGTTCCTATATTTCCATTCCCACAACTAATAAACTGGTAATCATTTTGCAGGAACTTGATGCAACTGTGACTCCTGGTACTATAGCTACAGAGGACTTGGAGATTTCACAGAAACATGTAACAGATGACCTTATAAAAATAAGTAAAATTCAACCGGAAATACCAACATATGAAGGTTCAGCTTGCACTGTGGATAACCAGTCCTCAAATAAACCACATCTAGATGAGAGTATAGAGAGAAAGCTCTTAAGTGGAAACAAAGATGTGGAAAATGAGCAAGGGGAGCCAACTACAAAGCCATTGATTGCTGAGGCAGATGATTTAAAAGCCACTAAATCTTCAGGAACCGAATCACAATGCAGCAGTGAAGCTTTCGGAGAAGAGAAGAAAATGGGTGATGAAAAAGAAAAGTCTCAAACAGCAGAGCCAGCTAAGATTTTGTTTACTGACATGATGCATGAACAAACAAAAGGAGACTCAGAAGTGGCTGAAAATTTGATTGAAAAAAGAGAGACAGCTCTGACAAAAGATCAGCAAGTAGACAAAGAAGAAACTGGTGAGAAGGGAACAAAAACAGATGAAGAGAATGAAGAAGAGGATGAAGAAGATAACCAAATGGTTGATGCTCCGGTTATGGTAGAAGCATCGAAAGACATTGAAGTCAAGACTCCTAAGAAATCTCATAATATATTGTCAGGTGTTGGGTCAAAAGTTAAGCATTCAATCGCCAAGGTGAAGAAAGCAATAACTGGTAAGTCTTCTCCTTCAAAACCACCATCACCAAAAGAGAAAGATCAAGTGAGTACTTAGCAAGACATATCAGTATGTAAATTTTCAAGAAAGAAAAAAAGCAAATGTGATAAATGGTTCAAATGGAACTCACCACATTACATGCTTGATGAACGTGGGGAAAAGGCCTTTGATTTCGATTAAGGATCAAGCCTAGGAGGAAGCAGTTGTTAGACTTGTCTCTTTTTTTAAGTAGAGGTAGAAGAGTGAGATGAATGCAGTATTATTTTGCATATACATTGTGTGCTTGAGTGAAATGTGTGAAACTAGTGTTTTGTAAATCGAATTTTCCTTAAAACTTATGTGATGACAGTTTGTCTCTCTTTTACAAAAAGTATTCCATCTTACTATTGTGTATAGATTAAGGTCTACACCAGATTCTAAAAGTGCAATGGAGGTAGAAGAATTCAGGAAGGGGTACACCATGCCCTTTCAAACGTGCTGAATAGCGTACATTCCTTTCAAACTTGATACCAGGAATCCAGGACAAACATAATAACGCACATAGAAGACAGACAGTAGAATGATGATCTAACACTGCTATTGCAAAAATTTTAGTGACTAGTGCTAATTATTTAGAGAAACCAACTTAAAACTCAACGAATCATATCCTTTCAAACTTTCACGGACCATTTCCTATTCGGATTTGAGGATACACACACCAAATACCAATCGTGATAATTAAGATATTGACTCCACGTATACATAAGCTCTGGTGTGAATATTTCGATTCATCAAATGTAGTTATGTAGGTATGTAGTAGATCGACATTAGAACATTGAGATGACTTTATTTAATCGGAAGGTACGGGGGAAACTTACATAGAGATTGGTAGGGGAATGCTAGATTTCTGTCTACCGAATTCAATACGACCGACAACCCTACATCAGAAACTAACTTCGCAAGAATTATGTATGAGAACCTAGTGTGGACTTTTTAGAATCAAAGAAACGCGATCTCAGCGCCAAAAATCGTATACCTCTAAAATTTGTTTTGTTTCCCCTTCCACCACCAAACCAATGCGTATTTTTATTTTTCAAAAGATATCATTTCACCACTTTTTTATATAATGTATACTCCCAATATGTATTTTCGTATCGTCTCATATAAATACGTATTGTATAATGATATTCTTTTGAATTAATTTGTACGATTATTGGTACAATGTGTACAGAATAAAAAAAAAAAAAAAATGTGGTTAAATGTTTACAAGTCATGTCAACCAAAAATTCAAATGAGCAGCGACATGGCATGCTACGTCAAGTGGTAACCGAGTAAACTCATAGATGCCTGTTAAATGGTAATTTTTTTAACAAATTTATAAGATTATTATATCAATGTATTAAAAAAACAGTGACTAAATGGGTAAAATAAAAATAATTGTTATCCTTTCAATTCATTATCTTTGACAAAATATTTGAGAGGTGTTAGCGAAAATGCTTGTGCGTGCATTTCTTTATTTTTTTTATCAAAATGGTTGATATGTTTGTGGATAAATGTTGGTGTGTACAAGTCCATTCCATTCGGCTTTGCATCCTTTTACAAGGTTAGTCGTGAATAACCCAACATGTTGACTCATGTCGCCTACACTTTGTTGCAATAAAATCATATCCTTTTTCAAATTTATAACGGAACAATCTATGAAAACTGATAAGGCTATGATGACTGTTTTTCGTTTTCAGTTTTTTTTAAAAAAAAGGATTAGTTTTCATTTTTAATTTCAAATATAAAATTTAGAAAACGTGTTTAGTTAAAACTAATCGAGTTCTGCAAGAAGATTGACACTCGATTTAGAAAAGGACATTACATACTTGAGGAATTTCGATTGGATTTAAAAATCACTATTGCAACAACTTTGAATTAATTTATGACTGTCAGTTGTAGTGATAACGAATAACAATTACCAGCTTTGTTCATGTTAAAAAATGATTTATTGAATTATAAATGGATATGACGATTTCTTGATGAATATAAATTAAATAACATTATGATTCTTCATAGAAGTCGATAAGCTTAGAAATCGACTTTTTGATTCCTAGGTAAAAACGGTTTTTTCTTTGACCTTTGACCTTTGCCCTTTGAACTTTTGATTGGAATTAAAATTAAACGTTAAGTAGTATAAAATATAAATGTATAATTCTAAAATTTATATGGGGCGGGTTATAAATGGAGCGGATCGTTGATGATCCATACCCGACCCATTTAATAAACGGGTTAGCGGGTATGGATCGTTAATGGGTAAACGAATCAAAAACTACGCTCCAACATCATATAATTCTTACAGGTTTGGATCGGATCAGGGTTAAAACCCGCTCCACTGCTAGGTGAAAGACCCTAACTTTCGTATTTATGAAAGACCCAAACTTTTATACATAACAATATAGTTACCCCAAAACATGCTACTTGCATATTCATAAAAACAATATTTTACATTGATAAAGAGGTTACAAACTACTGGATACAAACTTACTATTTTAAAGTGTTATATATTACATTATTTCCCAGGATTCTATAGTTTTATACATTTGGGAATGCAAAATACAATAGTTTCAAACTATTCATAGGCTTCTATCGATAAAATAGTTTCAAACTATTCAAAAATCTTCTACCATTATATAACTATACTGGATGCTTATCTCCTGCAATTTGTTAAACATTGAGAGGGTAAGCGGTGATGCTTAGTGAGTTTAATAATAGATACAATATAACGTTATGCCATATATATTGTCACACCCCAAAACCGAGAACGGCGGAAACGTTATGGGGCGGAGGACGTCATGTATAGTATCACAACAATGAATTGTAGTAAACAAGCAACAGCATCATCCATTGCATTAATAATATAATTTTAATACAAGTGTTCTGACATGTTTAATAGACACTAGATTATGAATCAAAAATGAAAGATGAGTCTTGAACGAGCTCCATCTTCTCTAAACCTTGCATCGGTACCTGTCTACTGTTTACCTGAGGATACAAGTTATTTTGAAAGAGAGTATCAACTTTAAAGCTAGTGAGATCATAAGTATTTTAGTTTCTGTATCCGTAATAATGTATTTGTAAGAATGGATTTGTAAGACTGTATATGTAAGAATGTATTTGTAAGAATGTATATGTAAAAGTTTTGAATAACCTAGAAAACCCTATGCTTCCTACTGAAAGTAGCCTTCTACCAAGGCATCTAGTATCTGATTGTGTCTCTTGTAAGAGTGTGTATTTTCCCAAATCTAACTATCATTAACCAAAAATTTAGTATTTACATTACCGTGCATCGTGTGAATGTTCACGAAGTGAATGTAATGGGGAAATAATAATGTACTGTAGTTTTATAATAAGTGACTACTGCTGTACTAACTACCTTAAACAAATTGAAATTTAAAGTAACATGTGATCGGCCTGTATCCTGCTACCGACTCAATAGTAAAACGACGATGTAAGACGCCGTAAGAAATGACATTTGGCACCCGTACACTTACAAGTCCCACTGTAGCGAGCATCAAGGTGTAGGATAGTCAATCCAATATAGATCTATACGCAAACTCATACGCTCCCCAATTAAGGAGATTCTGGATACAAAAACGGTCATGGCAGGCAGTGCCATGACCCGTTTAATGGCTCACATAACTGAATGTAAAGTATATGTAATGTATGTGCTAGTTGTATTGTGTGTTCTTCCTCTGTCTAGCCTGTATGTTTGTTTCTCATCACTATGTATTATGTTTGTTTCTCATCACTATAAGTTATGACTCATGTATGAACTGACTCTTTGTATCATTCATTGTTCTAGTATTAGTATTAGTAAAACCCTAAACTACGCCTATTGTAGTTTACTAGTAATATAACTTGTACGTATGAACATAGGAGTATACCCCTGCTATCCAGGGTATTGAATTGACTGGAAGAACATTTATGACTATATATGTACACATGATATATAACTAATAGTTAAACGACCTTCGGACGGATACCCGATATCCTACGAGACCACATCCCAACGGGGAAAAGGAAATAAAGCGGGTTAGCCTTCCTAAGTCCTTCAACCATTACTTATATAACTATACATATCTAGGCATGCAATTGACAATATAAAAGTATAAAAGAAGTTTTGTAAAACCTTTGAAAAGTTTTATAACTAGGAAAAAAATGACTTGATGTCAGTTTGTAAAACAGTTTGAAAACAGTTTATTTGATAAGAACAGTTTAAAGTATAATGAAACCTTTGTTTTGGAAACACAATCGTAACAGAGATTTGAAAAGAAACATTCAGTATGTAAGACAGTTTGATAAAGAATTGTAAAGTAGTAAAAATGTTTTGGAAAGCCATTTGAAGTAATTTGTTTGGTAAAACAGCTAAAAGTGTAGTAATTCTATTTGTATGCTAGTTATCAATCACCTGTGATTGATATAATAACTAGCATGATTCAACTTGTATCCCCCCACCCCATAAAAGCATTTAAAAACATTTAAAAGATAGATTAAGGGGTATGAATTCACCTGTAGTGAGTGGTACGGATGAACTAAAGATGTAGGATTGCTAGGTGTCAAGTGAAGTCTTGAACACACTCTATGATCCTAGTTAACATATAATATCACATATATGTATCCAATTAGTCTTTAAACAACTAATAAACAAAGTTAAGACACCCTAGGACATGCTAAACACCTTATACAAGTGTTATAAGTCCCAAGGATTGCATCTAAGTGTTGTAGGGAAAGGCTAGTGTGTTTGGGATTCAAGGAAAACTCCATTAGGGAGTTTACGGTTTTTTGGTCACAACCAAAAGGGTTTACGGTCGTAAACTCTTAGGTTTATGGCCGTAAGCTCACCCACTTTTGACCATTTGTTGTTTGAAGCCTTAAAAGTGCCTAGAAGCTTTTCTACTTGAAGTATGTGACCAAGGAAGGAACTAAGGCACCATTTCACTCCTATTTGGAGTTTACGGTTCCTAAACCATTTTCCTTTGATTTTACTACCATAAACTCATAAATTTTATGGTATTTTGGGGGTTTTCAAGTCCTTAGCTCATCAAAGAATGGAACCATGTTAGTTACTAAGGCATAGGAAGGAAATTGGGTCATTTATACATACCTTGGGGTGTTTACAGTTTTGGGAGCTCCCTAAACGGTAAACACATATAAATGGGAGATTTTTGTGCCTTTTTATGTGATAAACACATCAAGGAAGGATCTTCACATGTCCCTAAGGCATTATGAAGGACTAAGGCACCCTTTGGCACCCTTACTTGGTGTTTACGGTTTTGGGAGCTTCCCAAACCGTGAACACCTTGTTCTTGGTGTTCTTGGTATATTTCCTTGATGTAAAGATGTATAACAAGCTTTATAAGACTCTAGGATAGAGGTACTTTATGGAAGCTTGAAATGAGCTAAAAGTCCAAGAACACTAGTGTGTGTTCTTAGTGTTTTGGAAATCTAATCAAAAC